CGGAAGAAAAAATCAGAGGCCGGAAGCACGGTTGCAGTTTTTTTAAGCACAAACTATGTTTTTCCTCTTTTTCGGTGAAGCAAGGGTGTGCTTATCGTGGAAGCACATGCTATGCTCTTCCCTTTCGAGAAGCACTATGGAAGCAAGGTTGTGTCTCTGATGGAAGCTCATGATGTGTTTCTTGTGGAGGCACAGTTGTGTTTCTTATGGAGGCAAAGATGTGCTTCTAGACGATTCGCGGAAGCAAATCAGTGCCTCCGCGAGAAACACAGTTGTGCTTCCACGAGAAACACAGTTGTGCTTCCACGAGAAACACAGTTGTGCTTCTTGTGGAAGCACACATTTCCTTTTTCTTCAAAGAAGCACATCTGATTTAGGTTGGGGTTCATGTGACATCCCATTTTAATAAGAATGATAGACTACTCATATTAACGAGGTGCGCCTTCTTTTCTGAAAGTCCATCCTCAAGGAACCTCAAAGTTAAGCGTGTTTGGCTTGGAGAAGTTTTATGAGTGAATGTCTAGGAAGTTGTTCCTAGGTGTGGACGAGTGAGGACAAAGTGTGCTAGAAAGGGAAGTGTAGGTCTCTGGGGACAGTCGATCTCAGGTGCAACGACAAGGAACTGATAGGTGAGTGTGCATTTGGTCAAGGCATTACAATTGATATCAAAGCCGGCCCTCGCGGATACACGGGCGTGTGTGGATCAGTAACGCATACATGGGGCACATGTGGATGCTGGCACTAGCGCACACAGACATGTGCCAAGAGGGAACGTTCCTATTGGGACGACGTGGTCTTCGGCTCCTTTGTGGGAGGTGTATGTGATATCCCAGTTTAATAAGAATGATAGACTAATCATATCAAGAAGGTGCACCTGCTTTTCTGGAAGCCCATCCTCATGGAATCATATCAAGAAGGTGACCGACTGAAAATTTGTTTCCAGATGCGCACAAGTGCGAACAAAGTGCACAAAAAAGAGTAGTGTTTGTCGGTGGGGCTAGTCTAGATCCCAAAAGCAATGCCCAAAAATAGGTTGGTCCGGTCGAAGTGTTCCAGTGATCAAACATTGGATTAGGCGATCATGGGAGAGGACTTCTAGGATTTTTTTTCCATTTTAATTGTTTAAGTGGGGATTTTTTTTCCAGAATTCATGCCTGGTTCATCCACACTGGGTGGTGGATTCTGTGACCCTTGCTTGATAGTTCCTGTGTCCAAGGAGGGGATTTCTTTTTCTTTTTGGCCAGGCGTGATGCACCCTCTCCATTTGGCGGCTTCAGCTCGCCGATTTGCATGTTCAGTTACCGTTGGTTTTGTGCCCTAGCACATGTCATTGTGTTAAAGTTCGTGCTTCCTTCTTTCAACAAAAATGTTCTTGCTTCCTTTGTTTTGTTTAGTTGCCAACATTTGTATGGTTATTGGGTCGTCATATGTTGGAATTATTTTTTTCCTTGGTGTTAGATATCTTAACATATACAATTATTCCATATTTTGAAAATTTAATTAATAATAATTAAGTATTGTTGTGTTACTTCGATACTTAGAAGGAATTACAACTTCTGAGTACTTACTTAAAATTTTTAAACCATGTCATGCAAGTTGGATTGACATAGCTATCCGGCAAAAATGGTTCAAAGAGTGTGAACAATATGACTCTCACAAATATAGTATTTTGATCTTAATTTGGATCTCGGTCCTAATCAAATGATAGACAGTAGATAAAATGACATCTCCGAATAGACCCTTGCAAAATGGAGTTTATTTGCATTTAGATTCATTTAACTATTTTTCCAATTAATCATATAATAAAAAATGAGAGGAGATAATATGAATCCTCCATAAATGAGACTGGAAAATATTTAATAGTGTTTGAATATTTGGTTATTTTAATACCACTTTGGGTATTTATAAGACCCTAAAACTACTTTAGAAATTTAAAATAACATTAAATGATTTTCTTACATAAAAATCTATTTATAAATTTTACATGGACAGGGAAATATCTTTCCTAGACTCTGCATATTTTATTGAGCCTATTTTCATTTTCTAGAAACTTTTGGCAACTATAAGAGGCCATAATCATTTCCATATAATTATTTAAATACGAAAATTGTCAACAAAAACCACATAAATTGTAATTGGGCCATTTGTCCACTTTTGGACCATCCTAGTCTCTCTCTTCCCACGCCCTACACCGTGGTCCAAGCCCACATTTGGTTTTCCTTTCTTTTCTCTTTTATTTTCCTTTCGACCTAGTTTTCCCCAATTAAAGCCCATAGATATTTAGCCCATGGACAGGACGGGTCATCTCCTCTGTATGCTATGTATCGCCTAACGCGAGCTGTAGCGTTCGCTCGAGTCAGCGATACTCTTAAATGGCCGGCCAAGCTAGGTAGTTGCTCCTCTCTTTTTTCCTTTTTTCACATTTTCTCTTTTGTTTTTGCTTTAGTTTTGTACTTTTGCTTATATTTGGAAAAATTCTAAATACATATATTACAAATATCACTTTACATACAAAATGAAAAATGTGAATCATGCAATTTCCAAATGTTAATCGTGTATAAAACATGTTTTTCATATATACAAAAATGTACAATGCGTCTGGAAAAGTAGACATAAAAATATATGTTAAAATGTTAATAATGTATTTCCAAAAACACTATGTGTTTTAAAATATAAAACATGTATAAAAAATGCTTATGATGCACACCAAAAAAGTACAATACATATGGAAGAAACTAGACCAAAAAAGTACAACTCATATATATATATATATATATATATATATATATATATATATATA